TCTGTCTGTTTCAGATACGTCTCTTGCAGACAGAACGCTGATGGTGTTAAATACTGGATTAATAGCTGTATTTGATTAAAAATTTGTACGTAGTCCTCTACAGTCCCACTGCACGATATTTTTTAGATAGACCTATCTTTAGGTGGCTTAATAGGGGATCTACCCTGCACCTTTCGAGGGCGACAAGATATGTGCCCTAGAATGGACGTTTTCGACACGTCCATGACCTCAAGTGATCCGTACATGTTAAATAATTTAATTCTATCATCTGACCCTTTTGGGGCTCCGGCTTCTGTTTGGTTGTTTTGTTTTGCTCTTAACGTTTTGTGTTAGATGCAGACCTTTGAGCTGACTGGAGAAAATGTGTCACGATCATGAGATGGTTCTGCTTGGGTTTGGAGTCGTGACAGGAAGTGGTTCCGCAGTTTGTGTAGACATAGCAGGTGACAAAATCTTTGGAGAATCGCTTTTGAACCAAAAGTTAAATTCGTCTGACAGCTTACAGATGATTTTGCTATTGGAGGAGTTGAATCAGACGATGTTTTGGCTATGGATGCATAGGTTTCCTTAATTTCAGATCTTAAGACAAGCTTTTGGCATCAGGAAAACTCATGTTTAGAGTGAACTTCATCTTATTGAATCTATCTGCTGTTTCCTGATCGGACAATCTTTGGAGAATGATGAGTGATTGCCTGCACAGTTGGTACATTTCTTAAAGTCACTGTCACAGTCATCTGTAGTATGTGTCTTTTCACCACACAACACACAACGTGCAAGTATTAACACCATGACGAAACGTCTGGCATTTAAAACACCTGAAAGGATTTGGTATGTAGGTGTCAACATTAATGTGACAATATCCCCCTTGATCTGGAAGCATTTGGAGAGGAAAACGAAAACAGGTACCTGTTAGTCTGAATGGTTTCCTGGTTTTACGTGTTGTAAAACATTTAATGTATGTGACCCTTAGATCTTTCATTTCTAAAGACAATGTCAAGTTCAGACATGTCAGCGAACAAGCGATCTCTATCTCTGATGTTTCCTTTGCTGGTGTTAAAGAGTTCTATGAGGTGATACTGATACTGGAATGCCGACGAATGTTTCAGTAGTCATCAGGTTAGTTGCCTGTTGTCTTTTGCTGCACTCAACGAGCAATGCACCTGAACGGAAACGTTTGATATTTTAACGTCACCGGCAATGCTTTCTATGCATTTCTGTATTGCAAAGGGTTCAACTTTAATCTTGTGCGATCTTGAGTCTCAATCACGAGAAAACGTGGCCAGTTATCAATGGATGTGGACAGTCGTTGGTCGTTACCATATGGATCAGTGTCAAGTAAACATGTTTTTAAGGGGTTTCTGTATGCCATGGTTACTTTTTAATGGTTCACCATCGAGCTCCCCACCCACCACAGAGTATTACAAGGACAATGTTAAAACAAAGCGGGTCTCCGACTTGCAGCACCAAGGATACCCGGATGATATACTCTAGCAGAAAAATTAAAAGGTTAATTATTCCACCAGATTGGCCCATGAGCAACTGCCATCTGGGCATACGACTCTAGGCAAAAACATGAAAGTGTGTATTTGAAATTCTGAATTCGTTTATGGTTTCCTTGTGGATGAACAAGTCAGTATTGGTCAGAATGTGTATTTCGTACAGCTCCGAGGCGCTACAACTCAAGGGAGATTACTTCCTCATTGGTATTTACCAACAGTATTATTATATGACAGGCTCACGGAATTAAAGCGAACAAACGTTGATCACTACACTATCGAGGCCACAATCTTTCGTATTGCCAGATCCCCAGGAAACCTCTCCCTCAGAGACGCACCATGTCCATATGTTTTAGGAAGATCGTCTATTTTGTTGACGGTGTCAGGTACGCAGCTACCAGTAGCACGAGTGTCGGGAACTGGCTTTGCATTTGTCGTAGCACGTCTGTCTGTATGTCGCCACGTGCACATGAATGTGTCATGCCATGTTTATTCTGTGTTTAAATGACCCTTAACTCAAGGGGAGTTCAGAGTTTTAAACTGTTGCGAAGTGAAACTGTTTGTAAACATATGTTGAATCCTAAACTACATGACAAATAGAGGAACAAAGCATTAGGTGAAGACACATTTTAACATGACATGACCCGTGAAGATCCGGGGTAGAATAGGTCTTCAGCAACCCATGTGCTTGCCATAAAAGGCGACTATCTTGTCGTAAGAGGCGACTAACGGGATCGGGTGGTCAGTTTCGCTGACTTGGTTGACACATGTCATCGGTTCCCAATTGCGCGGATCGATGCTCATGCTGTTGATCACTGGATTGTCTGGTCCAGACTCGATTATTTACAGACCGCCGCCATATAGCTGGAATATTGCTGAGTGCGGCGTAAAACTAAACTCACTCACTCACTTTAACATGACATAATAACTGCACGTTGTCTGGAAGGAGCGACGAGGAAAAGGTAAAGTCAGGGCTTTTCAGACCCCCAAAGATAGGACCTGAATGTAAGGTGCTCGAAGAGGCAGTTCAAAGCTCTTCTTGGCGACATACTACTTAAATGCAAATTAACAGAAGAGAAACGGCAGAATTTGGAACTGATCAATATGATGCACATTGTCTCTGCACGTCGCTCCACAAGCGATGTCACTCCAGCACTTATAGCATAAAACAAAACATTTTAATCATTTATATCCCTCACTACACAGAAGCGTCATACCATGTCCAAAAAACAGTACATGAAAGTTCTCACAGTTTCAACAAAAATATCTCTGCAGGACAAAATTCCAATACACAAGACTTAAGTTGTTCAGAAGAAACAGTGTTTAACATTTTAAGGTTCTTTCTGGACTCAAGATTTTTTCACGATGTCATTATATCTCAAAATCTCAGTTGTGACATGTCACCTTTTCCTATTCTGTGGTGAGACTGTCTGTGGGGCTTATTGTACCCTGGCAGATGGAGGATTATCTACAGGCCGTCGATATATAGTTGGAATATTGCTGAGCGCACAATTAAACAACACACAAACAGATGAATGATAGGTAGTACACCAGTTTAATACGTTTAATATGTCTGTGTGATAACAGCGCTCTCGTCAATGGAAAACTAATTTAAACACATGTAAATGAACCTTTTCTTCATTTTCACATCGTGCTACAGAACCGTATTCTGCATACAACATTCGACAACAGTTGTTTGTTTGGTGCGTTGTTAATCAGATTCATGTTTCACTACGGACTGTCATATATATCTTGTTTATTCAAAGGGATTCATAGTATCCCGTTTTAAATACTTTAAAATCAATATCAATGCCTTTTGTGTCCATGTGAAATGACAAACATTGGATTGTGCAGATTTTATGAAACTGCAGCATATGTTCTCCAGTAATTAAAACGAGGGATTGCACAAAACGTACAATAGTTCGAACGACACTACATGGAGAGAGCAATGATGTACTTGTTCCATTCTTCACATTGGTATATTGTATTGAGAAGAACCATAACGAAACGTAATATACACAAGGACACCACCCCCCACCCCCCCGTAATTTTGCAATGATGGGTTTTCAACACGTACATAAAACCTTTCGAGGTGACCAAGATGAAAACATATGATATTTTGTTACCCGTATGACCCTTTGACTCATAGAAAATGATTGGAATTCATTTTGAATTTAAGATGATAATTGCTCATTTTATGAAAACGCTGATTTTAATACAAAGCCATGTCCGTACAAGTATGGCCATGGAATGTTTAATGTTGAATTTATTCGTGAATGTGAAAATTCAAAATGTCATTTTGCGTGTCTTACACGATTCAAGGCCAATACCGATAACCTCCATGTGACTGTATGAGAGCCAGCCCTCCCCTCCTCATACCCCAGTCAGCCTCCTGATCCTCTGAAGGGGCAGTCTACGCCATTACTCGTGTAAGGCAGCTTCCAATTGGGCCAGGGTCTGTACAGGAGGATCCCTTTGTTGCACACAACGACCAATCATGACTTAGAAAGGGTTAAGATCAGGGCTCATTCAACTGTGAGATATGGCAGGGGGTGCATAACGAAGTTCTTTGTGTATTGTCTGTAACGTGGTTAGGAATGATGTAAGACCTGAGCGTTTAGGAAAGCGAAGACATTTATGATTCTCAGTCTCGAGTCTTCTTTCAACTATTCAACCGAAAATTTGAATTTCATAGTAACCATAGTGTGGTTTTACGCGGCTTTTGCTGTTTTAAATATGCTTATTTCCTATTTGATAATACCAATTCAATTACATAGGAACAACATGAGTGAGTATGGTTTTACGACGCTGAACAGCAGAAAGCGGATGCTTGAATATAAACAGGCTCGTTTAATTACACCACTTCCAATCTATTTAGGTTATTTTGTAGTTGTAGTTATTAGATGCCTTCTTTTAAGTTGTCTTACTTTGCAACCAATTAAATGGTGTATTTCCGTTGTACCAAACACGACCAACCAACATTGCTGTTAGACGCGTACATCTTTTAGTTTGTGAGGATAGACATAATTCAGGCATATCACGCTTAATGTGGGGAAAAGAGAGGACACATCTGTGGGCGTATTTCTATCGATCGATAAGTGCATACACTTTGGAACAAGTGGACACGTTTGTGATAATCTAATGTAATACTTTGTTTCCAGTTTCAAATTTAAGTTTCAACGGTACATTACAAAGCTGAATAATAACATCTCGATCTAACATGTGCTCATTAAACCAAAGCACAAAAGAGCAGGGATAAATACAATATTAAAGATTAGAGGTGATATGTCTAAATGGTAAATTCTGCTTTGATGTAAGGACAGTATTCCTATAGTACGTGTTGACGTTCATAAAAAAGCCGATATCTATTTCATCAGCTTCCTATCAGTGTGTTTAGATCGGTTATTAAAACAAACATGGTGAATGCTTACACACGTTGAAACAGATGCCTGTTCAAATATCCTGCAGTTAAGGTTTCACAGGAACATATTTACTCATACGTGTACATATATAACATTCCTGACGTGATTGTACCACGGCAGTTGTACTGTCAGGTCATGGCTGAACAACACCGAGTAGAGACAATCGCCCTTGTCAAACGAGAATGTCCTGAGGTGAGTTGGCTTCAAACATTACTTTCTATCATTGAATTACTACCAGGCTATCACACAGTCATTGTCTAGAATATCTGTCTTGATATCATTATTGATATCAAGTTACTGTCTTGCATACGTTTGTGACAAGTAATCACGTTTCTGGCTATCAGTGAGTTAAACACACTTCATACTAATTACTGACTGACTGACTGAGTTTGGTTTTACGCCGCTTTTAGCAATATTCCAGCAATATCACGGCGGGGGACACCAGAAATGGGCTTCACTCATTGTACCCATGTGGGGATTCGAACCCGTGTCTTCGGCGTGACGAGCCAACGCTTTAACCACTAGACTACCCCACCGCCCCTCATACTAATTAAGTAAAGGTTATGATGATATTGGTCGTAGTAGTGATAGTGGGTACGTTTCTGTTGTTTTTATGCCGCTGCTGCTGCTAATGACCACTTTAGTTTCAGAAGGAACTGTTTCCAGAGAGAACGTGCCCCAAAGCAGAACATGAATATAACAAAGAAGATGTAGATTTGTTCATATCCAACACACCTGATGAAGGATTTGATTATAGAGAGCATTATCTACAATGTGGAGCGGCGTTTGGATGGGCAAGAGCGTCGCTTTGCAAGACGATAATTCGCAACAAGAGCATGCTTGTGGCTATATGCTCACTGATCGCATTGACTGCCTACGCTGTGTATGTCGGCTTCAGCATCAGATTTTCCTTTGGGGATGAAGGTTCTTTGAGACTGCTACTTGGGACCGGTTTTGTCGCCCTGATTTATGCCAAGGTCAAGTTGACAACCCGCGTTCATGAACTTTTATCTCCATGGTCCAACAAGATATCGAATTCCCCTTCGATAACGAGAACAATAAGATGGTGAGGATTCTAGAAAAATGCAACATAAATGAATATTTACACTACCTAAAGATTTTATTACACGTATTGTCATTGCTGATGCTGGCGTGAAACAACAAACAAACAAATAAAGTCAAATTCGAGAATATGTTCTATATCTGATGCCAGTATTGCAGCTTTCATGGGATTCCGATGGAGGTTGTTCTGGGTGGGTTGTTTGCATGGTATATTCCAAGTCAGGGATCTATCAGGGAAACCTTACAACGGCCTGCAGCTATGTGGAGGCGACAAATCAGAATATAAACAGTTAATAGGGTACAGCTAAGATTCGGGTAACACAGTCAAGTCTGTACTAGACAAACAGGTAAATGATATTGCTATCAGCGATCCACCCCATGGCTGATACCACATCCAAACATGTCGGCTTTACAAGCATACGCTTTGGTTTCAGGGAACCTATTAGAACCGAGTTCCCGGCAGTCATTTCCGGAGTAATGGAGTTTGACATTATCAACATCTATTGTGACTTCTGGCTTAGTAAAGGATTGTGATATGCATCCTCGATATTACCCTTAAATCTGAATCTATATATTTTCTCACATTCATCTCCTGCTGCCACCTTGTGTTGGCAGGTTGCTGTACATAGGTATGGTCCTCTTCATGGCGATCTACTTGGGACTGAATGTGACCAAAGCGGAGAACTTTCTCTCTCTCGCTGGACTGACCTTCTTCATTCTTCTAGGATTCCTGATATCCGAACATCCAGAAAGGGTAAGCGGGTTGAAACAGGATAATGACAAACCCACATTAGACAATAATCATTTGCCTTAGATTTTGATAAACAAATATGTTTTATTATGGCGGAGAACTTTGACTTTCTGGCAGGGCTGTCCCCGTTGGTTCTCATTGATGTTTGGGTTCCGCTTGTTCACGATCTGAGTCAGGCAATCGGTCTGATAGAAGGTTTATGCTTTTCTTAGCTTCTCCACCACGGTCGTCACCGTACATTTAAGTTTCCAGATAAATAATGTTAGAGCATATAGTCTAAACAGTGAGGAAAAATCATCTTAAAACCAGTTGTCTTCAACCTATTCCTCTTCGATGGCGGGTTCGAAACAGACATATTATCATGACAAATCTTGAATCAGCTTGACATCGCAGAGAGATGAATTCAAAAGATTGATAGTCCTCCTGTGTTCCGTCTATTTCTACATTTAGAGAAGCGCGATAGACAGCAGCCACGCCCACGCCTTGCCCATCAGACCTAGGGAACCTGTATCCATCTCATGTCAGTTCCTAGCTTTGGTTTCATCACCATAACGTCTTAGTCAAGACTCATTACCGAAGAGTATATCCAAAGCTTTGCCAAGTATCACATCATACATTATCACGGTTTTATTCTATGTATTCCACACACTCACTTTCAATCCATGAATGGTTGGCCTAGGAAATACTTGAATGAAGTTAATGTGGTTGACACCTCCACTTTGACATATTTGTTCATGTTTCTCAGCTGTGTGGTTTATTCTCTCTATTCCTTCTTCGTTTCCTTTTCCCACCCATTGAACGTCTCTTTGTCTCAGTAACTGGTATATTAAGTTCTATTAGAAGATGAAACACATTTGATGGAAGACACAATTGGCTATCAACATCCGATATTGTTGGGTGAGAGTGTAATATAGTCCGGCCGAATGACTGCTGGCCTATAGACAGCAGCTTGTCCCGGCTATAGACAATAGAGTCATAGCTCTGCCTAATGTTCTCTCTACTGACTCATTGTCAAGAGTTAGCCAACTTCAGCTTGAAAGGGTCTTGAGTACACTGTGGTTGGAAGATAGTAATAATTCCCAGGAGTTTGTGCAGAAAACAATGATAACATCTACATCACAGCATATTTTGATACAGAAACGCATTTAGATCACCTCCATAATGTAATTTGTTGAATAATAACACGAAAAATCACAGAAAGGCTATCTTGATATCACACTATCAATATTTGATGAACGTATACAGGACATACTGAAAACACCGACGCAATTCGAACAAACCTTAACACATATAGGACATATCACTATTCTGTTCTTAATATCCAGTAGGATTCAAGCATTGTGCGCAGCACGTTTCTGTCTCAACGAGTAGTGGTGAAGCTATGTGTAGTTTACAATTTCAGGTGAACTGGCACGCGGTATTTTGGGGAATCGGGACCCAGTTCCTGTTTGCTTGCTGCTGATACTCAGAACCAGTTTCTGGGTTTCGCTGTTTCCGATGGCTTGGAGAAAGACTAGACGAGTTCTTGGAACACACTAACAAAGGATCTGAATTTGTATTCGGAAAAACATATCAAGATCACGCGTTTGCATTTCAGGTAAGTGTGTAACACACATCGTTTGGTCCCATGACAGAAAAGGTCCCAATTATCTATAAAGATGGACAGGCTTCAGTAGAGCGTACATGGTTAGCTCTTTGACTCTGCGTAACATGACGACCAAGATTTGTTCTTTGTTTAATGCCCCTCAATGGTTTGTCTGACCGTGGTCACAAGTACCTTACTTTCAAAACTTGTCATCATTTGCTCGACATAACGTATTACAAATGAACATCGTATTCATCAAATTCAATATCTTGTGAAGATCTTGGTTTAGAACCGATGCATTTTGCAAGGGGGTTTGGGACTCAAGCAGTTGATGGATGTTCGTCATCACACCCAATTGCGTAGACTGGCGCGTTCAAAGTGTGGCGTTACATATTAAACAACCCTGACACATCGGACATGAATAGATTTCTGATAATTATGTCAGCATGAATGTTCAGAACGGGACCTGACAGAACTACAAAGATGAGAACTCATCTAATTCAGGAAGAGTGTGTGTGAGTTATATTTCAGCAATATCGTGACTACAACTGGTTCCAAATTCATACAAAACTACATTTAATTTATGAAAACCTGTCGACGAAGGACAGTGATATTCCTGTGTTTTATGTTTTCAGGTGATGCCATTTATTCTGATGTGCTCTTCGACTATCAACGTCTTGTACTACTACGGGATTCTCCAGGGATTCGTGGCCATTTTGGATGGTTGCTGTCTGTCTGTCTGGGCACCAGCCCCGTGGAGTCCGTTAACACAGCAATCAACGTTGTGTTTGGACCAGTACGGTGAAATTATGTACACCTATTCTATGAACTATAGAACATCAATAACACTGTTAACTCCACAAAGTCAATGTCTAATGACCATTTCATGTATTAATGTCAATGTTAACAAACATCAAATACGGACGTACACTTTCTTTTGCCCGACAGTGTAGCTGAAAGCAGCCGGAGTTGATACAGCTGTTATCTTCTTCACTAGGGGACACCTTTGCTTGTGGTATTATTGCTGATTATATTTTAATGGTCATAACACAACTATTGTCATTTTCCCATCTACATATGACTGGTAGTGTCATTGATGATTGCACCAGAAAGATATTTACAATAAAACGTGTTGTTTCGACGGACGGTAGTTACATGCAAGTGTCATTATCAGGCAGAATCACCTCTTGCCATCAAGCCCCTTCCTTCCTCATCTCACGCCGTCCGAGTTACATGCTGTCATGGCCGCCGGATTTGCCAGCATTGCAGGGACGGTATTCGGGATGTTGACATCGTTTGGGGGGTAGGTAGTACTAGGTACTGGGGATATAAGGTATCATGCACATGTGTCCAGTGACTTATTATTATCATTATTGACGTTTTCGTTAGTACCCAAAATGGGGAGAGATTCGGACGTAATCAAACAACCTATCCTAATCGACACTATTTTGTATGTTTTACAAACACGTGTCATCACAGAGGTGTGTTTTGTACACTACTGCCCAGAAGTTGATTCCCATTACACGCGTTGAGATTAACCTGACACTGGTTGCATCACGCGCTCGTCCCAACTTGTAAGGCTAATGAACTTGTAGACAGTCGTGTAGTTACAGTCCGTTTGAGTCAGAAACGGACCGATGAATTGCAAATTTTATCAGCCAGGTGTTAGAGAAGCACGTGCACAAGTGCCCACCAAGTTATTGATTCATTAGCCTGTGCTGTGCCGTCTCCATCCTTTCTCGCACACCTTGCTGTCCCTGTACTGTCTCTCTGCACTCCTCCCTCGTAACAAAATAGTGAACTGTGTCAAAATTTTAATGATAGTTTCTTAAAGAACTTTTTGGGTGGAGTCCGGAAAATTTTCAAATATAGGAAAGCTGTTGGGTATTAGTAAATGATAAACATGTGTACCATTTATAATTATGTGGCAATTTTGTACAATGATAAAATTTGCAATTCATCGGTCCGTTTCTGACTCAAACGGACTGTAGTTTTACCTTATCATTATCCTTCATACCATTACAGATTGAATAGTAGGGTTTCTGGGATAATAATATTTCATGGGTCAATCACAACAAAACATCGTATAGAAGAAAAATGGTCGTTTTAATAAAATTGATATGATCGATAACAACAAGAACTTATATATTAATTTTCAAAGTGGCAGGTACACATAGTACGGTGTTTAAACATTTTCCTTTGTTAATACCTCCAGTTGCGTTTAACATGGTCCACTTGTTGTCAAAAGTTCATTCACGGATCCCACAAGAGTTACACACGAGTGACCAACTAGATGTATCACGCTCGTCTCATCTTGTAATGGGTATGGTCCATTGGACAGTAGTGTTATTAGTTTGTACCTTATAATTATCCTTCACTGCATTACAGTAAATGTGTTGATGTTATTATTACTAGGCACCAGCCAACCATCTGCTAGCAGCCAGCGTCATGTCCGCCCCTGCAGCTCTAGCCATGTCCAAGCTAATAGCGCCAGAAACACAGCCGACCAGGATCCAGCCACATGACGCCTACAAACATCCCTGTCCGTCAGTCACAAACACCTTCCTTCATATATGTATAAATACATCTGATATTCATTGACAATGATGATGGTAATAAGGGATGGTGCAATAAAGACTTGGACCCAGCTTACGTCAAGATTGCATCCCAAGTTCCCGATTGTGCTCCGTGCCTTAGGTATGGTACCACTCAGTCCCAAGATTGACGTACCCATTAACAGACTTACATTCTTGGTGATGCTATAGCCGCCGACACAGGAAAGTCTTAGAGTTCTCTCACAAGGGTCTTTCGAAGGGTTCGACAATGTGGCTCATCATCATGAGCATCTGTAAACGTAGCCGCCATACGATGACATGTGTGCCTGACCACCCAATCATCCCTTTTAACAGGAATCAAACAGTAAACGAACCAGATGTGGAACCAACAAAATGACCAAGAAAATGTGCCGTAATTAACCGTATTCTACAATAAGTTAAAATGATGATACAAATACATCACCTTGTCTAAAATTGTGAGGCAGTACACTATGCGTGCAGTGAATGTAGCTATAATGATAGAGATGGGGAGATTCACCTCTCATTAACAGTAATCCAACTTGCAGCTAAAGCTAGACAGGCGTGTGATCAGGGTTTTGCAGGTATTCCGCCGTGATATTGCTTGAAATATTGCTAAAAAGCGGCGTAAAACTGAAATCACTCATTCTAACATGATTTGTAATGTGAGATAAGAGACAATAGATGGCTCCCCGTTTTAAGACCAAAATATCTTGCTGGACATTCCCATATCATTCTACATTGTTTGGTCGTCACAGGACATGCCTTTAGTGGTCTAACACAAGTCTAACTACAGCACACCACCCCTCACTGCCTCTACAGGTACAATGTTACACAAGTCCAACTCCAGCACAGCACAGCACACCCTCCCCTCACTGCCTCTACATGTACAATGTAACACAAGTCCAACTACAGCACACCTCTCCCCTCACTGCCTCTACATGTACTATGTTACACAAGTCCAACTACAGCACACCACTCAACAAATAACACTCTCTTATAACACTATACTACACAGGAAGTTCAACAACCTTCTGGAAGCCGTGTCAGAGGGTGCTAAAGACGCCATACCGATCGTCGCGAGTGTGGTTGTCAACCAGATCATATATATCGCCATCATCAACTTCGTTGACTCCACGTTACTTTGGTTCGGGGCAGAGTGGGCGTGGCTGGATTGTCGTTTGAGGTAATTTGAATAAATATCCTTAAAGGTCACATGCAACGTAAAACACAACTTTGCAGATTCTGATACCTTCGGTATGGACTTACCGAAACAAATCATCAAAAGTGCAAATTCAGTTTAAAGAGTTGAAAAATAACGCGATGAAATAAACCGCTCGAAATCGGAGTTCAAACGATTCACTAATTTTTCCCAGCACTTGGGGAAGAAGTGGTTTCAACAGTTGGGTTGCGCTGCGCTGGGCTGCGCTCAAAGCACATGCGCAGTGAAACAGGTTCTTGCAGCTTGGAAGCGTGTTGTCCAGTGAATACTCGGTGAAGGCTTTGGTGTGAACTATTTTCTAATGTTTTGTTGATATTTCACAGGCGCGAGCTTTTGATATGTTATGACAGTAGATTACCGATTTAACTGTTTATATAATTTCATTTGTCTATTTCACCACACGTACTTCTTACCGAGTCACTTTCTCAATTCGATACTCAAAAAGCAATGTCATTATTTAGCGCTGACAGAATTTCTAACTGTGATATAGATATGTCGTTGTCACCAAACAAAACTCAACGTCTGTTTTATTGACACCTATGTGTCTGCCTGCCTGTCTGCTAATGACAATATTCAATACACAACTTCGATCACTGACCACATGCAATTTGAACTTAACACCTATCAGGCTATACACCATAAACAAAACGCATTGATTTATGACCCGAGTTCGGTCTCTGTCACATTATGTAATTACACAGACAGGCAGGTGTGATACTTGTACACATGACATGTTATGATGTCTGTTGATTGCAAAATGTTATACACAAAAATGAGCATGTATTTACAAAACCCAACATCTCTATATATACACACACAATGAGCTGTGTGGGCATCTGCAAATGAACCAGCTGTTACAATTGAGTGCACACCCACCGCTCTGACTGGGTTCGGTATCCCGGCTGCTTCGTTTCGAGGGAAGTAAACCCAAGTACAAAATATTACATGTTTGATTTGTGATAGTACGCTTATAATTTTTGTTTATATGTTATTTCACAATCAGCAATGTATATTTTATGTCATGAATAAGTGACAATTGTGTTGTAAGTATGTTTGATTTTTGGTTGCATGTGACCTATAATATTGCCAGTTATTGTCAAGTTTTTTGTGAGAGGAGTGAGTGAGTGAGTGAGTGAGTGAGTGAGTGAGTGAGCTTATTTCTGCGCTGCTTTTAATAATATTCCAGAAATATCACATCGCTTATAGCAATATTTTGTGAATGGGTCATATATTTATAGAACGCGGGTTTCTTCTTATATATCAACCTATATAGCCTTGACATATGAATTATGTTTATAGTACTACTTACATTTGACTCTATCAGAGACACAGCGGAGCAGCAGCAACATGTACATCAGTGTGGATGAGCGAATGAGTTTTGTTTTACGCCACTTTTAGCTATAGTACAGCAATATCACGATATGGGCTTTACAAAGTGTAAGGTTCCATGTGGGGAATCGGACCCGGGTCTTCGGAATGACGAGTGAAAGCTGTAACCACTAGGCTACCCGCCGCCCATCATTGTGGATGAGGTAAAACTGTCCTCAGTTCGCCTAGGTCCAACATCACTGTGGAAATATAGAAAGGTTTTCTTGAAATGGATTTGTTTTGCACGAGACAACACAGTCTCGTCAGGCTCCATCGATAACGTGTCATCAAACACCGGTCGCGTTGAACGTTGCTCATGGTATCAACCACTGGATTGCTTTGGTCTCGACTACTTAGAGACGGTATTTATCAGCTGGGATGATCACAGGGCAATATGTAAACTTTGTATATGCATCGGTAGCCTTGATATTACCGACACGTGTTTAGAAGTAGCCATTTTGTTCTCTATAACGTGGTAGCAGAACGGCGCGGGTATTGTTATTCCTATGTAAAATGGTATTTTATTTTGTTTCAGTTCCTGTGCTCCTATGGTTTCTATCCCATCGTGTACGTCATGGGCTTTTCGAGCACGGATTTCTTTGAAGATTGGCGAGTTGTTTGGCATTAAGACATTTGCAAACTCATTTTACGGTTATCAACTGTTTGGAAAGCTGATTAAGAATCGCCATGCTTTGGAGCAGTACGGTGCCTCTACTAACGGGACTTGGCACTGGGAGGACCGAGACATCGTTCTGGACCTCACCAACAGGACGCTTCCTGGAGGGGTCCTGACGGTGGGTGTGTGAGCGAGTGCGTGTGCATGCGTGCATGCGTGCATGCGTGCGTGCTCAGACATTAAAATTTACGTTTCGGTATTGCTTTCCATGCTTGATGCAGGTCGTGTTCCAAAACAGCATTTTTTAACCGTATGATAATCTCTAGTGTTTTCTATAATGCTATACTGGTTTGAGGTCGGGACCACCCTTGACGTAAAATATCGCCATTGTCTCGTGTACGATTGGGCCCTGCTTTGTCGTCCATGAACGTTGACTTCGTGTTCAGACGATGGTCATCAAATTTCTGGAAAAAACTGTGTCTTGAATGCAAGTAATCGTTAATAATTTACAGTTACCACATCAATGAACCCCAGCCAACCGGTACTGCTCCAAAATATTCTGTTGCATTATATGTAGTGTTCCTCCGTCGCCCAACGCCGACGAGTAACGCAAGAAGTCACGAACAACAGAAATCTACTTTGTCCGGCCAGAGGACCTTTAGACACGACGTCAAATTCCAGTGATAACGAGCTTGAAACCAAACGAGCCGTCCTGCAGCTTTGTGCTTAAGGGACAAATGCAAACGTCTGATACATGGCCGATTGAAGGCGATTTCGGACGGTTCTGCTGGACAAACGACGATGTGGAAGCCACTGATTTTAACACGCCACTTGACATGACCGGATGAAGCCTTGACCGATCCTGTCTAGGACACTTGAACACTGACAGGATCGGATGGTCAGGGCTCGCTGACTGGGTTGACATGTCATCGGTTCCCAACTGCGTAGAGCGATGCTCATGCTGTTGATCCCTGGATTGTCTGGTCCAGACACGATTATTTACAGACCGCCGCCATATAGTTGGAATAATGCTGAGTGAGTCGTAAAACTAAACTCACTCACTCACCTGAACGCTGACGGTCCTAAACATGATCTGGCCAGTCGGCTGAGAGTCGATGGTCGACAACCAACATCCTTTCAATAGCCCTCTCAATGGCATGCCACCATTCCACATACCCAAAACGTGCCATCTTTGGGCAGTTGTCGGCTGAACAGGACCCATAGTTGCTCATCAATAACGATTTCAATTGACTTTTGTTGTCGAGCTGGAAGAACTGTTACTGACACCTGACAATTGTTTAATACATGTGTACAGGTATTGTGCTTGATGATCACGTTTGATCCTGGCACGTGTATATCAATGTATGGAACCCCAAAAGGGTAAACGTAACCTTACAATTGGGTGAGTAAGAGTTTAAGTCACATCGGCAATATTTCAGCCTTATCGTGACTACAAACAAGTTATAATTTTACAACAGATAATGGTAAATTATAAATATCAGTCAGCGAAGGACAGTATAACAACTAGTTTATCCCAGATTTCAATATAAAACTAGTAATTAACACTAGAATACACTTACTATAGAGGACGATACAATATAAAAACAGGCTATTGATCGCCAACAATTAAAAGGTAGATCACCATGCTAGGGAGTACTCTTTCTTCCTGCATGGACCCTAGCTGGATTTTACACCGTCCCTTTAGCCGTTAGCAAGTTAGATAAATCTAGCTATACATTAAAAAAGAACATATATTCTACGATTAAAATAGCAGTAGGTTTAAATGTACTATGAATGTAATGGGACTACGTACCTTCTCAGGAGGACGTAACCTTACAAACACACATAATTCTGATATGAATAGAAATGGCTATATGGACATACAAAGATCACAGTTGTTGCCACACTCTCCCCAGGCATATATCAAGCCGACACGTAGTGATGAGAGTAATGCACTGAAACAAAATGACTCACCCACAGACCCAAACAGAACAGCATACAACCTTGTTGATTATTGACATTTTCGTTCCCAGAAACGATCTGAAGTGATAGGGACGTACGCATTCTGTGGACAGAACCATCTGGCAGCGATTGGGGTGACCCTGGGAGTGTTCTGTACCTTGATCCCCGCGAGGAAGGGAACCATCACCAAATACATCGCACGTGCTAACGTATCGGGGCAGCTGGCGTGCTACATGACAGCGTGTATTGCAGGTACGTTTACATGACCATGACATGACAACCAAACATATTATAATATCAACCAAAAGTAGCCATACTGTTAACAAATAACAGCAAAGTTATGTGGTGGTGGTGTGTGGAACTGTGCATAGATACCAGGTCACAAATCATGTGAAGTTAAGCAACGTTGGTCGCGGACAGTCATTTGATTAGGGACCGTGTTTGGGAGCTTGAGTTTCTTCTCCTTTCCAGTCCTGTCCCACACGAAACACACGTGGCACATGTGGTCTCACCTTTGGCAACTGAATTTGTTCACGAATTGCCTCTGTGCACCGAGCAGTGATGGGTACCCGGTGTGATACGTCAAATGCAGCTTTGGTTATCCGGGTTAATAATTCCTGCAATAAGTGCGTGGACACGTTATACATAGCCATTAGTATTATATCATTATGTCAGCGAGTAAAAGTAACACCAACACTAAGATCTTCCTTATCCCCATCATGCTTGTCGTAAGAGGTGGCTAACGGGATCGGGTGTCCAGGCACGGTGACTCGGTTGACACATGTCATCGTATCCAATTTGCGAAGATCGATGCTCATGCTGTTAACCACTGCATTGTCTGGCCCAGACTCGATTATTTACAGACCGCAGCCATATAGCTGGAATATTGCTGACTGCGGCGTTAAACCAAAGCAAACGTTATCCCCACATTGACGACATGCACAGACCACTCGTAGCGCCAGCATTAGTTTGTGGAACAGATTGTTCCTTTTCCAATTTACTTTATACAAAGCTCTTCCTGGTTTTATTCTGTTTCCTTGTATCTCCTTGCGCTGATTTGACAAAGCCATCGTTCCGCAACGACTACCGTAAGTCCTGTACTTTATATCAGTCGTAGCTCTTCGAGTGAGTGAGTATGTTTTTAGCAATATTCCAGCAATATCACTGCGGGGGACACCAGAAATGGGTTTCACACATTGTACCCATGTGGGAATCGAACCTGGGCCTGCGGTGTGACGTAGCGCTACAACCGCTCAGTGAAACCCGGAGTCTCCCTACCTTACATCACCCAATCTCCGTCCATCCCATCTTCTCTCTCAATTCGCTGGTCCAGACGAAGACCTTGAATTGTCTCAAGGACAAAATGAGTAAGCGCGTTTCTGAAGTACTCTGTTTCGATATTGTTGGAATATTGCTTAAAGCGCTGAACCCATCACAAACTCAACTCTCCCTGTCTCGCCATATTTGACCACATGAAACCACCCAAACTGGCCGATAACCAACATTCAAACCAATCTTATTTTCAGGAATGCTGTATGATGAATCGTTTGTCTGAACCTCCCTTGTTCAGGAGTAATGGATGTGGATGTAAATAATGCTTTCCGACTCAAAATAATCTTCTGCGTTCTGGCCCAGGAGAATCGAACCCGGATTTGTTCGTAGATGTTTCAGAATGATATCCGAGAAATCAGGAAATAAGCACATGTAATACTTTCAACCGTCAAGTATGGAAAAAGTATGAAGGAAGGTATGTCTCTGTGTTGAATGTACAGACGTTTCTAGGACAACAGGAGAAAATGATCATCTATTAATGATCTGAGGTACTCTCATTACACTCGTGACCGGTCCCTTGCCATTCTGGGACAACCTTTCTTTTACTTTACGGAATATGCAGTTTGTTATGAACGCCTGCGGCCATAGGTTCCGCTATGACCGCAGGTCTGAATGCAAGATTGCACCAGGTGTATGACCAGTCATCATCATATATCTGTGTTAACGGGATTCATCAAAGTAGCCAATGTGTAACACCTGCTTCACTGACCTGAATTATGGTTTAAAGTACAGTAAAAGTGAATGTAACTTGACTATGGGTTTATCATCCTCTTCTTAATGTGACTCTATGAGATGAAGTTCAGAGTTCAGAGAAAGACCTGGATATTCGTGTTGTCCGTCACTGGTCTGCCTCTGGCGTTTACAATGTAGGGTATCCGACCTTGGTAGTCAAGTCCCCGGAAATCCAGAAACCCAAACCTTCCCTGCCTTGTTGGAGACAACCTGTAATAAGCCGTACGACTTGGGTAGATGGGATTATCGAAATCTTACTGAACAAACCTCAACTATGGCAAAGGTTGTCAACCAGGAATGCTTCAAGCGTGACGCTGGCCTCTAAATAAAAGGGACTGTGGAGTAGCCTAGTGGTTAAAGCGTTCGTTCGTCACGCCGAAGACCCGGGTTCGATTCCCAACTTGGTACCATGTGTGGATCCCATTTCTGGTGTCCCTCGCCGTAATGTTGCTGGAATATTGCTAAATGCGGCGTAAAACTAAACTCACTCACTCACACTAAATAATCCAAAACGGTGCACAACAACTGTCGTAAGGTTTGATGACGTCATGCCCAACATGACGTCATAGATTGTTGCTCATGTTATCTTTCACTGAGGTTTTGTGTCCACGTGGATCAAGTGTAGGCCAAAGCCATGCAACAGGAATAGTTGTGTTAAACCACGAAAACATTTCATCCTATAGGCCATTATGCGTTGGTATGTTGTATGTGTCGAGGGATCTGAGTGCAATAAACAGGATTCAGTTTTGAGGTTGTTTTGTTTTTGGGGTGTTTTGGCTGTTTAACGCTACACTGAGAAATATGACAGGGGATTGTAACGCTAAAGACTGCCATCAAGGTATATGCTGGCACTGACGGGGTCTTAGTACTATACAAAAAGGAAAGGGATGTAACGACGTCAACACACCGCAAGCTCGTTTCAGGACGAATTATACTCATGATCACTGCCCACAACCCCATGACACTATACACGCATTAAAACCAATAGATTTACCTACAAAATGAGACATTATACATCACAAAAATCAAAGCATTGGGTGCTAGGGTCTTCTGAACCTCGAAAATTCGTGAGGTTTCGATTCCGAGCCAAAATCGAGCTCCAGAATTTGTACCGCTAACTTACCGAATGTATTGCTTGTTGCATCGTGTACGCTCACACCGCGCTCCAAAACACGATGAATCGATGGCACCTGTCTCCCGCGCTAATCGCCAGCCTTTCCGAGACACGTAAACCGTACTGTCGTAATCAGTTCACCTATGTTTATGCATCACGATCGGGCTTGAGCCATACCCCTTCGCCATTGACGACCTTGGCATTGCCTATCCCGCACCGAAAAATAGCCTCCCATCTGATTGGCTATAAATAAAACAAGCACTGATTCCCCCCAAACCCTCACGTCGTCTGTTAATGTGGCGCATTTCACAATCATGTCAACAATAAATGGTAAGTAATTATTTTCTTTCATATAATTTCTCATATTTTCCCATGATTATGTATCATGTTTAATTGATGTCAATACATTTCATGAAGAGTGTAGAGCTAAAACATTTTTTTTTTTTTAGTTGTGTTGATCAAATTGTTAAAGAAAAAATTATAACAGTTATCTGTTTTCAACTATGGATACAATGTTAACTGTAATATTTTATGACTGCTTTAATAACACTTATGAAGAAAATGTGAGTCTGTATTGTAATTTAAATGTAAAATCTGTCAAGTCATAATCTGAAATTTATGAAGACCTTTCAAATGACCCATAAATATTTCCCATATTTTTTGGTACAAAGTCTAAATATTTGATGAGTTGGTATTTCACTTGGGTCACGTGACATGTAACAAACTGGTGTCATATCGTCATTAATATCTATCCTTAATTCCACAAGTAAATGTCAAACTGTATGCCCTTACCCCATGTTGGCCTCTGAATCTTTTCTGGGAAGACAATTTGAAGTTTCACGAAAATACATCAACTCAAAATGAATGAAATGTAAAAAATATTTAATCTGCATACATCATCTATGTCATGTTAACATGGGGATCATGGCATCAGTAATGCATAAATCATGAAAATAAAAGTTTATGAGTGGGTGAATTTAGTTTTACGCCGCACTTAGCAATATTCCAGCTATATGGCGTTAAAAGTATATGAATATGTTATAGAGACAATTAGATTTCTTTTTTTACAGCTGAAAATATAAATTTTACATATGGCTTTGGTTTATCTACATGGAATGTGCTCTAGTAATCCTGATATTAAACCTTGCAACCTATTAATAATTATAACATGCCCCTATGTCAAAGATATTTATTGTACTTAAGGCATCCGGTAATACAAGTATATATACAGCACATGTTACAGACATTTCACACAAAGAAATTACAGTTCAGATAAGATATTGCTTCCAAGGAAAACAGCATTTTTTTTTCATAAAGCCCAAGATTACGTATTACATTTTCATATTTGGAGGATAAAATGGGAAGCAAAAGGCAGATGTGGTAGGATATTTTAACAGGTAATTATTTGGGATGGTATTTTTCTTTAAATCAGCATAATGTGGGCGTACAACAAAGCAAAGTGAATTTCATCTTCTATAGCTGAGTTACATAATGGAAATATCCCTTTAAACGTCTCTCTATTGAAAATCAGTCTGCCCCTTTATTTACTGATAAGCCCTAATAACTCCAATCGAAAATTGACAAGTGTGCGTTTGATATTTCTAGATGTCAATACAGATAGATATAGTTCTGGTTGAATTAAGCTCTATGTGATCCATGTACAACTGGTATCTTGAACTATTGTCTAGACAGGAATGCCATTCTTGGATAATACATGCTAACAGATTGTTCTCGAAATTGCTTAAGAAGCCAGATTAATATTACCTTCAACTTTTAGATTTAGCCACACAAAATCCAAAGCCATGAGAAAAATAAAAGAGTTCTAATATGACACGCCCATGTTGTCCTAACAACACCCTATCATCAAAACGTGCTAGCAAGTTATAAGCTAGTTTGGTTTTGTATTCTGTTCGTGCATTCCAAGGATCTTTAAACCAATATTTTTAAAGATCTCGATTTGTGAATTTATATATATCGGATATCTACCGTATTCTCCCATACACCAAAAGTTGGTGCTGCTCTGCACTACATTTAAAAGCACCTTACATGCTGTGTGCTGCGTAGTTTCTCTAGACATTCACGACGCTGACACATCTATAAAGCATAATCGGTTGGATTTCCAGTGCATCAAACAATTTAAAATATATATTTCGGGGTTAAAATTCCTGTACCCTGG